TAACCCTGTACAAATACACAGTGAAGACTAAAAGTTTACATAACTTATTAATAAGGGAATCACACATTTGACAAAGCCAATTTAGAAGAGAATTTGAGTTAGGCAAAACCCTCTTAGATATAACAGCAAAAGCATAAGTAACAACAACCAAAAAACAGATAAATTGGATTTCATCAAAATTAAAAACTTTTGTGCCTCAAAGATCACCATCAAGAAAGTGAAATAACCCACAGAAAGGTAAAAAAAATGTTCATAAATCATATATGTAGAATATATAAATATCATATGTAGAATGTATAAAGAACTATTATAACTCAATAATAAAAAGACAAATAACCCAATTAAAAACTGGACAAAGGATCTGAACAGTTCTCCAAAGAAGATATAGAAATGGCTAATATATATATATATAAAGATGCTCAACATCATTAGTCATCAGGGAAATGCAAATCAAAACCACAATAAGATGCCATTTCACACCCACTTGTATGGCTATAATTAAAACAACAACAACAAAAAGACTGTCAAAAAGACAAGTGTTGAAGAGGATGTGGAGAAACTGGAGCCCTCACAGACTGCTGGTAGAAATGTAAAATGGTAAAACCGCTTTGGTAAACAGTCTGGCAGTTCCTCAAAAAGTTAAATATAGGGGACTTCCCTGGTGGCACAGTGGTTGGGAATCCGCCTGCCAATGCAGGGGACAAGGGTTCGATTCCTGGTCCAGGAAGATCCCACATGCTTTGGAACAACTAAGCCCATGCGCCACAACTACTGAGTCCACGCACCACAGCTAGTGAAGCACACGTACCTAGAGCCCATGCTCTGCAACAAAAGAAGCCCCTGCTCGCTGCAACTGGAGAAAGCCCGTGCGCAGCAATGAAGACCCAATGCAGCCAAAAAAATAAAACAAAATAAAATAAATAAACATCCTTGTGCTAAAAAAAAAAAAGTCAAATATAGAGTTAACATATATGAGCTGGCAATTCCACTCCTTGGTACATATGCAAGAGAAATCAAAACATACATTCAAACGAAAACTTGTACATGAATGTTCATAGCAGCATTATACGTAATAGCCAAAACATTCCATGACATGGAAACAACCCAAACGTCCATCAACAGATAAAGGGTAAAATAAAAAGTAATGTACCTATAAAATGGCATACTACTGCAGAATAAAAAAGAAATAAATATTAATATATGTATGCTATGACACGATGAATCTTGAACACAGTTTACTAAGTAAAAGAAGCCAGTCACTAAAGATCACACATCATATGATTCCATTGATATAACATATCCAAAATAAGTAATTCTATAGAGATAAAAAGTAGGTCAATGGTTGTCTAAGGCCGGGGGACTGGGGTGAAATAGGGAACAGCTGCTAATGGATATGAGGTTTCTTTTTGGGGAGGTGTTCTAAATTTGATTGTGATGATAGCTGCACGGCTCTGTGAATATACTAAAAACCGTTAAATTGTACACGTTAAACAGATGAATTGTATGCATTTAAATTATATCTCAAGCTGTTATTAAATATAAATATAAATTGAATATATATAAGAAACATATAAGTATATATGTGTCGATATATACAAACTAAATTTGAAAAACAAGTTTTCATGGTTCATGAAAAAATAAAAAGGAATGAGGCTGGTGAATTAGATACAAATTTGCCCAATGTCTTGCAAGGCAATAAAACTAACATTTGAAATTTTATTTTCTACTTGAGAGAAAAGAAATAATCACACCTGTCAGATTTCTATACATAAAATTCTAAGTTGACAGAGTTGTGAAATACAGTAAGTGTGAATAATAAGTCAACCAAAGTTGTATTCCTCTAGGTTTGTTAGACAATGTTCTACATTACAGTGAATGCCACGGTCATGTTTTTTCTTATTCTCATGTCTGAGATAATTTTTCTTAACAAAGGTTTCTCATGAGCATACCACAACAATTTTGCATGTGTTTTGTTAGGCAGAAAATGGCGGGGTATTTCCTCTTAGCTAAACACATGGGAGTGGATCATCTAAAAGAGAAGGAATCTCAGAACTAAAATCACAAGAAGTCATGTGAAACAAACCAAAAACCAAAGAGTTGACCGAGCAACTTTTAAAAGCTATTAGGATATTTTTTAAAACTACATGTAATTAATAACTATAACAATTATTAAGAGAAGAGAAAGCTAGTTGGAAAACTCTCACCTGATAATAAAGTTATTATACCTACTTTAAAAGAAGATATCCTTGCAAGAGAGAAGCAAAGATGCTATAAAAGTTGTTCAGTTTACAAATCCAGTAAAAGATGTGAAGCAATAACGAGATCAATTGACATAGCTGACCGACAAACCTTTGACTGGTAAAGACAGATTCACAGAGCCAGCCAAATCATAGCTAAACTGTACAGCTGATGAGAAGAAAAAAAAAAAAAAAAAGCCAACAGAATTGGAAACAGACTAAGGTAATCCAGTTTAAGAATCATCATTATACCAGAGGTCAAACAATTATGCAAGAAGACTAGAAACTTTTCTCAGGAAAGGAATTAAAGACAATGTTCTGGATGCTTAAAAGAGTCAATTATAATGCAGCTATCTTAGAGGAATGTGAAAGGCCATTTACAGCAATTGTCACTGAAATGTCCCAGGGTATCTATGTATTTTAAGGATGAAACACAAAAACAGAAAGATACGTGTTTTTTTTTTTTTTTTTACAAGTGGGAGAATATAAAGATGTTAGGATATTCTGTTCTATCACTTTATATTGATTGAATTGCCTGAGAATAGTCATTCAGATGGATTCACAGACAGAAAGTCCTGGATGAAATGTGTATCAGACCCCTCAGAAAAAATACGTAAAAACCTTGGAAGTGAAAGGTAGAACATGGTGAGTGACCGGCCCAAGATCCTAATTCTGCCAGAGGTTCCACCAAAGAATTTTTTTTTGACCACCAGCAGGAATAAAAATGCAATCTGACCCCCCTGGCAGCTAAGATGGTATAGACAGAAGGGCAGTGAGCCAGAGACCAAAGGCACCTTGTCCTGACACCAAGGACAGTGGGGTAGGCACGTGTTTGCTGACGACAGAGATAAGAATGAAATGACTGGTTGGTGAGTTGAGAGCAATACGTTCTTGTTCTTATCCATCTGTTGCTATGCGCAGCTTGGCGTTTGGAGACTGGTACGCTCGGGGAATGGGCTGCATCTAACTATAAAGACAAGAATGAATGCTCAAATTCAGCAGACAAGAAAGCTTGGAGGGAGACCAACCGAGGGCCAAGGGAAATGGAGCCAAAAGCAAGACCAGGATCTGGCAAAGCTGTTTTTTTCGCTTAAAGGCAGAAAATAGCTATTGAAGGAGCTGCAGAACCTGAAACAATTTCTCAATGAGCTAAAAATATCCAGACAAGGAGCCCTGGAGATGTTGAAAGCCACTGAGAGAAACCTAAAAGGACAAGTAGATTGCAATATTAACAAAAAGCTGGCTACAGACGTCAAGCTTAATGAATGGACTAATTTAAACAATATTTTGAAAAATATAAGACATAAACAACAATTTATAAGTCTCTAGACTATCACAAAGGGATAAGCCAACACTGGAAGCTGTATACCATATGGTTTCTGAAGCATATTCAAGATTTTTTTAACACAAATAGATGTTGCAAGTAATGCAAACAACTGTGACATAACATTTATTAGAAAAATGGGTCAAACAAATTGGAAGTATCCTTTTTGAATGGAAAATAGTCTTTAGAAAGGCAGAAAACACTGAGAACAAAAAAGAAGAACATACAATGAAAAAAGAGTAGAAATTTATCAATTAAAACATATAAAGTAAATGAATGAAATAAAGCAAGCCTGGCTTTATAAAAACAAAATCCAACAATCTCTCATCCCTAAGAGATACAAGTAAGCTGAAATATAAATGTGCTGTTGGTCAAGGTTTCAGATTTATTATGTCTTTGCAAACACAGAAAAGGGAAGGTCACTATTACAAAAATGGTATTAGACATTAAAAAGAACATAAAACTATGAAAATTTAAGAACAGTACACCTTAATGTATAAACATTATAGAATAATATATCCTGAAGAAACGTTATGAAAACTGTCAAATATAATTATATCTGAAAGTGTCAGAAGTACATCACAGCAGATTGGGTAAGGAATTAAAACCCTCTCAATGAACAAGATCCATTGGTCAACGTCACTTCTTGATCCACTATCCTAAATCTCTTAAGGACAAATGGTAAGATATAATTGACTGTATCTTAGCAAAAATTGTTTTTCATTTCTGTTCGCCACTTTCAACTTCCCTGCTGATTTTAACCTTACAAGTAGTTATAATGTCCAATCAACCTCTACACACCTCTCAGTGCATTGTCCTGTAACATTTGCCATATGAGCCACTCAAAAGCTTTTTTTTTTTTGGCTGCATTGGGTCTTCATTGCTGCGCATGGGCTTTCTCTAGTTGCGGCGACCGGGGGATACTCTTCGTTACAGTGCGTGGGCTTCTTGTTGCAGAGCACGGGCTCTAGGCACGCGGGCTTCAGCAGTTGTGGCACGAGGGCTCAGTAGTTGTGGCTCATGGGCTCTAGAGTGCAGCCTCAGTAGTTGTGGCGCACGGGCTTAGCTGCTCTGCGGCATGTGGGATCTTCCCGGATCAGGGCTCAAACCCGTGTCCCCTGCATTGGCAGGCAGATTCTTAACCACTGTGCCGCCAGGGAAGTCCCTCAATAGATATTTATTATTGATAAGTGCTAACAAAATGCTTGTTGAGTAAACAAATATGTACCAATATGAGAACAATACCAATAATATTGACAAAACAGCACCATTTGTTGAAAAGAATTCCAAACATCTAAACAGTAGTTTCTTTTCTCCACATGCCCTGAATAGAACACAACCTTTCTTTCCTTAAAATGCAAAGACAACATATCGTTTAAGATTATTTAAAACAACCTGATAAATACCAAGTAAACTTAAAAAAATGTATTTCTACTGACCTTGTAAGAATGTAAGGTGAAAATGAAGCTGGATTATCCTGCTCTGAAAAGAGGGGCATAGATCCTCCCATTATCCACAGACGGAAGTACAGAACAACAATAACCTTCAGAGAAAAGAAGATTTGGTAAGAAAATCATTGATTGTCGGGAGTAAGCCCCACCTTTCTGGAGGCTACTTTCAGATGCTTTACAAATATTTTGATCTACAAACACTTTTCCTAGTGAGCATTTCTGTAAAATCCTAACATTGAAGATGAGTAGGAAAGTAATTGGGTAGAGGGAAGAGTAAACAATGAAGGTGAGGATGGAAAGGCAAGCAAATCTTAATAACAGTCATCAGTTTCAAGCACTTATTAGCTGTTATCCATTGTTATCCACTAAAGGCTTTCCATCCACCTGAGGCCTCCCAATTTGCCCAGAATCCCACAGCTAGTAAATTACAAGATCCAGGAGTTGCACCCATGTCATTGGTCTCCAATGCCCAGGTTATTAACCATCCCTCTCACAGAGCCCCATGAAAGTTAACTTAAACTATAATAGATGATACTTCCGCGTCCTGAATAAATACATTTGGAAGTGCTCCAACTCACAAATGCTCTGGAGCAGACCGCTCATGCAAGAGTTATTTCAACAACCCCAAGAAACATCTTTTGTGTCTACTCAGTGGAATTTTATCACTGAATGGTGCTATCCTGTTGCAAAGATGCATAAGAAAACCAGAGGCCAGAGACACTTCTGTGGCGATAAGTTCTGTTTATAGAAGAATGCACCCACACAGACCTTCTAGATGTCATTCTCATTTCAATAGGACCAATTATGTTGTTTCTGATAAAGTCAGAGGGAAATCTTTGCTTCAATAAAAGGTAAAGATTAATTTTGGGAGGTAGTTAAGCCTGGACTTTTTCCCATGAATGTCACTGGCTTACTTCATGAATGCTTTTTATATAAGTGCAGCACTAGATAACCGATACAGCCAGGTTTGTGTTGCAGAGACAACACAGCATCAGCACCTTGAAAACGGCACAAAAAGTATTATAGTTAATACTGCTGGTGTCACTGAGTTCACATATCCCTAGAATGCTTCCATACAAACATTCCAAGGCTTTGTAACATTTATAGCGTGTAAACTCTTTGATCTTAAGATCATATTGTTAGACGCTACTGCTGACTCAAACAATCTGGATCATGTCTCTGAGTCAAATTAAAGTGAAATATTTCTTATCAGATATTTCAAAAGCATATATGTACTTACATAACTTATGACCAAAATGGCCCTTTTTAAGAATGGCCTCATGGTAAGCAAGAAATTTCTATTGCGGCTTGCTGTCAGATATCTGAAACAGGAAAGAAAAAAACATCTTAAATAAGTGTCAGAGTCTACCACAAATAATGTTTTCCTTTCAAAAGAAGCCTGGAAAGGATCATAGCTAAGAGCATGGCTTCTGGAACCAGACCACGTGGGTTTCAATCCCTCAGCTCTGCTGCCTACTGTCTGGATGATCTTGGGCAAGTTTTCTAACATCTCTGCACATATTTCTCACTTATAAAAGAGTGGAAAATAATAGTATCTACTTCACAGGAAAGTTGTGAAGAATAAATGCGATAATATATGGAACACAACCTAACTGTTAACTAGTTAGCTATAAATATTACTATCCCATCTAATCCCAAATAACCCAGGTATTCTGGCAACTATATGATTACACTAGTCACAGGGATGATCTTAAACAAAATAAGATTTAATTTGCCTACTGAATGTAATTTGAGAGGGATAATGTCTTCCACCCACAAACTAGCTCACAAATGTCTTACCCCTAAAAAAAAAGGATGCTAAGATTTTATGAGGTTAAGTAATTTATCCAAGGTAACAAAGTTATTAAGCATTGGTGGTCAAACAGAGCTCACCCATATGCAGTGGATAATTTCCTCATCTGCCTATGACCTTTGGAACCAGACTAGGTTACAAGAATGTCACTTCTAGAGGGGCAGCAACTTGTGTGGACCCTGCATCTCCCACAGTTCACCCACTTGTACTCATCCACATAGAAGACATGTGATTGGCTGGTTTTAATAAAGACGACGAAAGGGAAGCAAGAGGAGATTGTCAACAAACTTCAGGAAACCCTAAAGTCCTTTTCACCTACAGGCAAATTTCTGTACAAAGTGTAGGGAAAAAAGTCAAACTGAACCACATAATCCAGCAAACATTTCCCACCTCATCCTTGTTTCCCCTGCCTTTTTTCATTTTTTTCTTTTACTTTTTTTAGTCTAATTTTTCCTCAAAGGAATCCTCCCCCAGAAACTCTTAAAATCTGCATTTGAATGTGGTATGTTCACACAGCAAGGATGTTCTATAAGGAGAGAGATCCTTTTGAAGACCTGAGTGGGTTAGCAGCTCACAAAGAAATGTCTAACTTGACTGCTTACAAAATACATGTGGTTCCTGTTTTGTTACAGCTAAGTGCATCCAAGTGGCACCGTAAGGAGACAGTATCACTAAGGGGCAAGTCCCTTCCTTCTAGCTTCCCTTTTCTTCTTCCAAAAAACAGTACACAGAGCCACCTCTTAGCAAGCTCTGGACTGGATCCACCACCAAGCATTACATTTAAATTCTTTCTTCTCTCAGCTCTCAAGAGAGCTTGGCAAGGAGTAAGGCCAGGAATACTGTCAGCTCTCAGGAGGCAGGTGCATCTTTTCTGTCCTGAAATGGGCTTGAGGGAGTTTACCGCTTCCTGAAACTGCACAGGAGATTTTGTGTATGTCTGCATCTGTGCATTTCTTTGAGGCAAAGTCCTTGACTTTGATCTCCAGTGTCAGCTAGGTCTGTGATTCCAAAAAGTTAAAGCACTGCTACGTGCATTTTCTCAGCTCCCCCTCTATCACCATCATTTTCAGGCCAACTCAACAAAGACCAACCCTGGACATTTCTGCTATTCCTTTACAGGATGTGGATAAGTGGCAGCAGGAAGGGAAAGGGAATGGCAGTGTGGGAAGGAAAAGGGTTGCAACATTTCTGAATGAAAAAGTCCTTCTTGGGTTGGTCTGCTTTTAGAAACTTCATTTCTCAGGTTCCCTCTGTTGCTTGTTTATTTTAACACACTGGAAAAATTAGAAGTGGTTTCCCTTATATAAAACAAACCACAGGGTTTCAGATGTTAAACTTAGGTAATTCATATTTTGTTTCACTGAAAGCTCACTGTGATGGTTATTTCAGAGACCTTTATAAAGTGTCGCTTTGTTTGCAAATTCTTCCTCCTTGAGAAGTTCTATTTCCTCAAAAAGTTCAGTTAAAGGTGTCAGATAAGTTACTCTTTAAATGTAGCATCCCAAAGCAATGAAAGCCTAGAACGACACAGGGAGCAGTGGCTGAAAAAAATGACCTCCTTTCAAGATTTCAATTTCCAGTTGTTGACCAAAATTAAATGAGAAAATAAGCCAAAATGACATGGCCCCCCTTTTTTGGTAAGCACGAGGTCAGAGGCTGAGGTTACTAGCTCATACACGGAGCAGTCTAAGAGGTGAATTTTCTGCATCTTCTCCTCCTCCCCCTCCTTCAATGAAATTGGACAGTAGAATTTTTTCCCCCTTAGTCCATGATGTCTGTGAATTAGAAACAACAAATAATAATAAAAATAGCAAATAATACGTATCAGATACAAACGTAAGTGATGTACTAATTTCTTTATAATTTCTTTGTAATTTCAACAATTCCTTGAGGAAAAACATTATAATTCCTTTTTTTTTTTTTTTTTTTTTTTTTTTTTCTACGCCGGCCTCTCCCTGTTGTGGCCCTTCCCGTTGCGGAGCACAGGCTCTGGACGCGCAGGCTCAGCAGCCATGGCTCACGGGCCCAGCTGCTCCGCGGCATGTGGGATCTTCCCGGACCGGGGCACGAACCCGCGTCCCCTGCATCGGCAGGTGGACTCTCAACCACTGAGCCACCAGGGAAGCCTGTAATTCCTTTTTAATAGAGGAGGACACTGAAAAACTAGAAGTAATACTTAACCATATTATCAGATTATCTCAGCTACTCATTTCAATCACAAGTTAATATAGCTGAGCATGACTTAGAAACACAAGGATATGCAAATGCCAACACTGCTAATTTTCAACTTCAGTCAAATTCTCCATTGTTTTCCCTGCGAAGCCAGAGAACATGCCAACAACAAAACCAAACCACTGAGGAAACCACTAGAATGGGAAGCAAGGGTCCAGGGTTCTATTCTTGTGCTTCAAACTAATTTGTTGCATAACTTGGTAGAAATCTACAGGAGCTCCATTTCCTTGCTATATCAATGACAGTTAGACTCAGTGGTTTCAGGGTCCCTCTCAGGTTCAAAATATTATGATCCTTGGATGTTCTCACCAACTGATGACATCAAAGATGACAAATAAAGAAAAACATAGAAAAACCTACTGACATTTTAAAAAAGGAATGCCAAGCAATTAGGGTGAAGCAAATACTAGTTGATCCCTCACTTTTAAGTAGACCCTTGAAATTTGCTGATGCACATGAAAAAAATATTTTAACATTAGCTTGGGGTATCGGCATTACCCAATTCTGCATTTTTAACGATTTCTGATTTTAGGCAAATAAAAGCAAGATCAAGATTATCCAAAATGAATGTCCTAACCTGTGCACCTCACACCCCAAGTTTTCTGACCCCAAATTTTCTAACTACTAACACCCACCTCCTCAGTTGATCATGTTCAAATACTCAGAGCTAATTGGGACTTCTCACTGAAGTTACCCTCCATAGATACTCGGTCCTCAAATGCCATTGAGAGGTCAGTCTTAGGTGAGACCAGGACAACCTGCCACCCGAAGTTGTAAGCAGCTTTTTTCAGGAAAGAACTCTCTGCAGTAGGTCCCTTTTGTCTTGTCACTTTAGCAAAGCTATATTTTAACTAACTTCTGGCCCAAACCTTTCAAATCTTTTGATCACACAACACTTTGCCTAACCTGTTGGTTCTTTCCTTAGATCAAAGAAATAGAAATGAAGAATAAGTAATGAACAGATGACCAGATCTCTTCCCTAGCTTTCCCCTTCAGTAATCTCATAAACAAACTGTGTGAACAAGATAAGCATCTAAAAAAAGATCACAGGGGGCCCACAGGCCTGTGCACAGTGGGGGATGGCAATGACTCTGACCCCCTATTTCAATGATTAACTGAGATTACTTCCCCTTTTTCCCTTTAAAAACTTTCAGGGCCACGCAGAACATTCAGAGACAGTTTTGGGACACAAGTCCGCCTTTCCCCCAGATAACCAGCTTTCTGATAAAAGGAACTTTTCTGTCTCTACCAGCGCTTGTCTCTCGTATCCGAGATCTGAATTCGGTAACAAAGTCACCAACCCCATAATCTTTTTTTTTTTTTTTAATTTATTTATTTTTATTTTTGGCTGCGTTGGGTCTTTGTTGCTGTGCGCGGGCTTTTCTCTAGTTGCTGCGAGCAGGGGCTACTCTTCATTGCGGTGCGCGGGCTTCTCATGGGGTGGCTTCTCTTGTTGCAGAGCACGGGCTCTAGGCACTCAGGCTTCAGTAGTTGTGGCTCGCGGGCTCTAGAGTGCAGGCTCAGTAGCTGTGGTGCACGGGCTTAGTTTCTCTGCCACATGTGGGATCTTCCCAGACCAGGGCTAGAACCTGTGTCCCCTGCATTGGCAGGCGGATTCTTAACCACTGCGCCACCAGGGAAGCCTCCAACCCCATAATCTTGAGGGTTAAATGAATGCTTATTATTTTAAGTCACTGAACTTTAACACAGAATTATTGTGTTAATAGCTAATGGATACATACAGCAAGATGATCAATAAATGTTTAGGGACCCTAACAGAATTTTAAAAAGATTTATCTGCCCCCACTCACCCTCTTTTCTTTATCTGTGTTTTCCTTACCCTCCAGTGCTAGACTGGGTACAAAATACGAACTCACTGCTTGGGGTTTGGACAGTGAGCTGAAGGATTCCTGGTGGATTAAATGAGAATACTATATTAGACTATCCAGCCCTTCTCAGAAACCTGATAATTTTTGCCTTAATAACAGCTCCAGTGGCAAATATCTCAGCTACAAGTTATTACTATTTAGTAATACACTAATAAACTGGGACTTCCCTGGTGGTCCAGTGGGTAAGACTCCGTGCTCCCAATGCAGGGGACCCAGGGTTCAATCCCTGGTTGGGGAATTATATCCCACATGCATGCCGCAACTAAGAGTCAACATGCCGCAACGAAGATTCTACATGCTGCAACTAAGACCTGTCGCAGCCAAAATAAATAATTTTTTAAAAATCAATATACTAATAAATTATACAAAGCTATATACAAAATTCCTT